CTGAAAAGAAAATAAATTTAAGATTAATGGAAAAAAAAAAAAGAAAAACAGTTAAAACCAGATATTGTCGATATTAACAAAATGGCTGCAATGAAATTTCCCATTCTAGCCAAATTCCTTACAAATAAACTCACTTTACAGACTCAAAAGCAATGTCCTTTGGGAAATGTTAAGGTTGCAAATGACAGCAAATGTATAATTAGCTTTATGAGGTTATTAGGAATCAGCAGCAGGCTGAGGAGAGGGGCTGTGGGGCAATGCAGGCACATGGTGGAAATGTGCACACTCCTGCTCCTCCTGCACTGCACACAGAGCCTCCCTAACACACAGCGCAGCTGAAACCTCAGCTTGCAGGCCCAGCTTCCTGCTGCAACCAGGCAAAGCCAGTGATGGAAAATCAGATTTTTGTCATTTCTCCCCACACAAAACCCTTATGGCTGAAACTACTTCAGAGCTGCTTTCCCGGAGTCCCTGGTGCTCTGCCTCACCTTGGCACACAGAGCTCTGCTGCCCAGCCTGGGGAACACAGGGAGCTCCATCAGGGAGATGGACCTGCCAGCCAGGGACAGCTTCTACTGCAAGTGTCTATCGTATTTCCCATAATCAAACCATTTTCATTTGCTCTCAGGTGTCACATAGACCAACAAAAGCAATCTTGTAACTACAGTGCTGTCTTGAATACAAGGGCTAATGCAGCAAACAAGGTTTAACAATGCCCTTGATAGCTCTTAAAATAAAAAAAAAAAAATAAAAAATTGGTTTTTAGCCTTATGTGAACAGCAACCACAGACTGGTCTCATTCTCTGTAACTACCTTATTTTTCAAATACATGTATACACTTACTTTTTTTGAAAAGAGGACAATTGTTCTATTTTATTATCATGTATTTGCTCCTCCACAAGCAGAATCTGATTAGTGGATTCTGAGCTAACCAGCTGAGGGAAAGCTGAGAAAGGAATGTTTCCATGGCATATGCAATCCTCCACCACCCACTACTGTGGGTCCTGGATGTGAGGCAGAGAAAAGGACCAAATTATCTGCACTACACATTCCCACCTACCCAGAGCCATCTTCAAGAAGGGAGCAGAAATTACCATAGACAATAAATCCTTAATTCTCCATCTCACTGAGCCAACATTTCTCAGATTACGAGGCATTCCTTTCATATGCAAATTCACAAATCACCTCCTGTGACAACTATGCCCACTAAAGTGCTCAGCATGGAAAAGACAGCCTGAACACCCCTGTCTCTGACTCTCTGCACAAACATAGGGCCACACACTCAGAGAAATCAAATGCCTTCCTTTTCCAAGAATACATAACCACACATCTTGATGGAAAAAACCCAAAAGTAGAAAACAGTTCAGTAAGAACAAACTTCTAAGTGTAAAGGTGATCATATTCAGCATTTTGAATTAGACTTTTTTTTTTTTCCAGCAGGAGTACAGCATTTTCACCAAGTGTAAGAGTATCTAAGTTCTTATAGAGCATTCTAAAGCCTGGATGTTTCACTTCAAAGTGCAACCAACATAGCTGAATGCCTTCAGTTGTACTGCCCTGTTTGCTTAGTAAATCCAAATTCCTATGAAGGGATAATACATTAAAAATGAATGAATTTATTTAAGCACCCCAAGTTCATGAGTGTGGGCTCTGTATCTCACCCCACAGCTGTGTTTGCTTTAGATTTGGGTAGAGAAGTCTTCATTGCTATCAGAGGGATACATGAAATTCCAGGGGTAGCAGTGTGTTAGGCAATTGCTTTCTTCAAGACCTGGTCTAAAACTCAGGAATATGTGTGTAAAAGGCTTGTATAAAATACATTAGTCCCTCTTTTGCTTCCAAAGCATTGATGAGTAAGGGATTCAATTTATATATCAATTCTATTTAAATACTTGGTATCTAAGAACACCTGTCTTTAGAAATCACCCAACAAAGGAAATGGCCAATTCCCACTGGAAAAGCAAGGGAAGGAAAGTAGCTCACATCAGTCTGTGTTGGGTAAAGGACTTGGTGACTCTCTGAGCTGGAAAAGCAGTTTGAGACTTGTTTGAGCAGGTTTGACACTGATCCCACACTCTGCAGCCTCTCTGGTAGGAGGAACTTCCATAACCCTCAGCCTTGGAACCCTCTACATTAGGATGCAAACATAACCTGGGGATTTGAAATACTCAATAACAGAATCCCTTGCGTCTCTTTCATCTGCACTGAAGAGAAGGAGACACTACTGCTCTATGTCAATTTTTAAAGTCTGAGAATTTTGAATATCATTGTGATTTTAATTCTTCCCAGCCAAATTTCATTCCAACAGTAAGACAGCATCTAGGAAGGGAAAACAATTAATTTAAAGGTAGACATGCTTCCCTCATGGCTTAGTGACATGCAAGAGGATTTGCATGTACTATTATCTTACATGCTTTAATGCCATGATTATTACTTTTATATCAATGGGAACTAGTATATTTCCTTTGTTTTTCTTTGTTTCTGATTATCTGGCATCGCTGCAATGCTGAGCAAGGGCTGTCAATCTGTATCTGTAAAAAATACAATTAATTTTGGTCCAGTGGTAGGGCTGCATTTTGCCTCCATCCTGCCTCCCATTCCTGCAGGACCCTGGGCTGTGTCCCATTGCCTCTCAAACAAAATCAGCAGGCCACCTAGGATGGCATCAAGTGGCCCAAATGCAAGGGCCTCTTGTAAGGAAGGACCAAGCCTGAATACCCAAGGCCCAGGCTGTATTAAATTATTACTGCATTTAAGCCAGCTCCTGAAGTAACTGGCAATTTACAACATTGATGCAATATACCATGTTGCTAATAATATTATTATATCAATATTCAACAGAAATCTTGACCACTGATGGGAAAATATGGATAAACATGCACATTAAGCAATTTCAAAGGATGAAAATATGACTGTTTCAACCCAGTATTGACTTCTGAGTACATTTTTATTGCCGTTTTTCCAAAGCAGCAATGACTTATTGTCAGTGTTTTACATTGCTTTTTCCATCCTTGTATATAAACCATGTCACTTTTCTTAAAATAAGAGTTGTGAAGAAATCCTAATGTAAGAACTGCGACCAAAGTTAATCCTTGCTCCTTAAAAAGAATGGTTTATATTTATATTATAATAATGCTAAAGCTTTTAATGTAATATTAACATAGAAAGATTATTGCAGAATTAGTGATGCTTATATTCTTGTTAAAACAACAAACACTTATTTTTCTTTTACAGGATATTGAAATTCCACTTAAAAATATGTATCCAATGTAAAAACAAAATAAAATGTAAAAGGAATCCTTCCAAATCTTCTGTAAAAGAAAATATATAAAATTAAACTGCACAATTTTCATTCCTGCACGCTTCTGAATACTCTTGACATATGTAAGCACAAACATGGATGAAAATATTTCCAAAGGGGAAAGAACACATGCTCAGATATTATCTGGGAAAAAGATGCATTGAAATTCCTCTGTGATGAACAGACTTTTTTTTTTTCTCCTCAGGGTGACCTCTACCTTCAGAATATGATGGTTTTATTATGATTAATAAATTTCATTTCCACAGAGGAAAGGAACAGTGTCAACTTAAACTTAAAGCAAGTGGGTTTCTTTTTAAATGCTAATTTTTAAACACGCCCTTGCATGACACCAAATTTAGAAGCTCAGAAGGTTAGCAGAATAGATTCTGATTTCCAGGCTGAAAATAGGAAGAAGGATTTAAACTGTATTGTCACACTGCAAATCACTAAGCTGCTCCAGTCCCACACACGCTGCCTCACTTACTCACTGCTATGCCAGCCTGCTTACTCCCCATTACAATTAGTGGCATTTAAATGCTTTGTGATCATTTACACTGCAAATTATCATTCTAGGTAAACAACTTACTGAAATTTAGGACGTGCCAATGGTAAGGTGGTGAATAAATTAATAGTCGATGGCATTCTCTGTGTATTTTACAGCATGATAAAACAAAGTATCCAAAGCAATATGCACAAATTCTTGTCTCAGAACACAGCTGATGAACAATTTTGATGCATCACTAACTAGAACAAGGTGTGCTCCTCTATTTTCCACTGTATCTGGGACAAGCATTCAGGACATCATGGGAAAAATTATGTTTGCTAGTATTTTGCTAACATACTGACACTGGTTCTTAAAAACTGGACAAATAACTTCCTGGGAAATAAGTGAGAAAAAACCCCAGTGTAGCCATGCTAACTTCTATAAATGCAGCCATAAGCTATCCACCAATAGATGGCATGATCTTTACTTATGCTATGCCTTAATCTCTTCAATCATTTACAGCAGAGGGTTTCAAAATGCTAAAATACTACAAAAAAGGACAATTTGTTGTTCATTGATCAAATTTTTATAAAAAGTGATTTATAAAGGGAAATGGTAGGATTTATTTTTTCAGGGCCTTGGAAAGGGAGTATCTTTCTAAATAATCAGTAGTAGGTGTTGTTGAAGTCTCTAAAAATTGGGAAATTCTGTGCCTCTGTTCATAAATGCCATTTCAGGATTTTAAATTCTTTAGTAGTATGGCTGCATTTCCATACACATCTGGGACAGAGAGTGGAGCTCCAATACTGGAGACATTTAGAAGCTCCTAAATAACATACACACTAACTAATAAGGAAAAATTCACCACATAAAATATGAACCAAGTTAACACACTTTCCTCAAGTGATTTGAGAAGTATAGAAGGAGAATATCCAAGAATTTGATACACTTATTTTACTTATTCTTAACTGCCCTCCATTTTTTAAAATCTAACATTGCTGGAGGAACTAGAGAAAATTATGAACCTGTTTAAGAGGTATAAAGAGAGGAGTTAAAACTTGCTCACTATTTCAGATCAAACTCTGACCTCAGCCATATTACAGGCAAACCCTGTGTGCCACTGGGAAGCTCATCTTTCCAACTTTTCCCCAATATCATCCATTCTTTACCCACTTTATTGCAATTGAACAATCAAGTGATAAAATTCCTTCTGGA